ACTTTAAGTGTAAACTACATTTCTAACAATACAATATTCATTCTGGAAAATTGATGCAAATGGCCAGACTCGTGTATCTCCAGAAGGAATCTGTGTCTACTTTTTGTTTTTCTTTGAACGACGAAGGCGAAATAGGTGTTCAAATTTGCAAATATACATATACAATCTCATGGCTAAGATTAGTAGAAGTTAATTTAAGACTGGAGAACCTCTTCCCTTACTTATACTTCTAAAACTATCCTTAGAAAATCTTACTTAACATTTAGTAATTTGACAACGTTTACATCCATGCAAATGGAAAATATAAACCAAAGGTTTTTCATTTCCTCCGAACAGTGATGTGCTTGGAAAAGCTACCTCACACGTTACCTTAATTACATCTCGTTCGGTTTTTCGGTGCTGGCATCGGTGCTGCTTTCGCTTGTCGCAGCGGTGGAGGATATTGGTTCGATAGTGGTGGACAGCTTGAGTAAGGCGGAGGGGCTAGATTGAAGCCTGGATGAGGCTGGTCGTAACCAGCTGGAGGAGGCTGGTCATAACCAGCTGGAGAAGGCTGGTAATAACCAGCTGGAGAAGGCTGGTTATAGCCTGCTGAAGGAGGCTGGTCGTATCCATTTAAAAGAGGCGGGTTATAGTTCACCAGTGGAGGAGCATGTACTTGTTGCGTCGTCATCATGTCGGTTGATACGGTTTGTTGTTGTGGCTGTTGGCCGGTGACGACCACAGCACCGGGTGTACGATAAAGATAGTACAAGCAACAAGCACAGCAGCAGCAGGATACGATGGAAATGATGATGGCGAAGAAGATAGTCGTGTCGATAATAGCGACTGAAATAGCTGCGTCGCTCCAACCATCGTATAAGGAACAAACACTCCCACAACAATCCTTCCCAATGTCACATTAGTCGTTGGACGAACAATAACAAGAAGACGAACTACTAATACATTTCCCATTTCAGCATTTCTTGCTCCATCCACATTGGTAGTCGTATGTGCAGGAACAAGAAGACGAACTACTGATGCATTTGCCATTACAGCATTTCTTGCTCCATCCACATTGGTACTCGTGCGAACAGGAACAAGAAGACAAACTACTGATGCATTTGCTATTACAGTACTGCTTGCCACTGTCACATTGGTAGTCGTACGAGCATTTCTTGCCCAATCCACACCGGAAGCGTGCGAACAGGAACAAGAAGAGAAACTACTGATACATATGCTATTACAGCATTGTTCGTTCGATTCACATCAGCAGTCGTACAAACAGCGTGAACAACGCTGTCTGTACAATAGGACCGACGGTAGGAACAATCACTGTCGTAGATGCAGTAGGTAGCACTTCCTAAGTCAAAGAAACAGACGAAAAGAAAGCATAAAAGTTCCATAGGGGCCAATGTCCTTTCACAATTTCAATGGCGTCCTTTCGATGTGGGAACATAATCGCTTGGCTGGTTTCCAAATTCTCTCCAGACACTAAACCATGGAAACCCCCATAGATTGTGGGAAGGGTGCAGGGGAAGGCGAAAGGGAATCGGTAGGGAGCGTTGAAGGAGAACAGGAGAAATTCTGTTGCCCTACATAATTTCGTTGCGGGAATGTTTCAGTACCTTTCAAGTCAGACCAAAGCCAAAATTCAAACAAAAACTCAAACATTAAACAAAGAACCTAAAAACGTCACAAATCTATCAACCCTGTCTTCATTTAATAAAAATACAGACATTCGGAAATATTGACTTACGACAAAGATACCTTTTTATTTTCTTTTAAATGAGTTCTAGTGAGCAGCAAATAGCAACAGATCTTGTCAATTTGATTTGATACTCCGACTGGATTCGTCTCCTTACACACCTAATTTACAAACTACAAGTTACCTTTCAGCAAGGACGTCAGCAGCGAGAAATATACCCACATAGTGTGCGTGCAGATTATCATTGGAATCCTGCATGATGTTGAGTTTAATTTTGGGGCTCTCGGATTTAACGTTGAGTTGGAAGAGGGCGGTATGTTCGAAAGGGGTACAGTTTTATTCAGATTTCGAGGTGCCAGCTTACATGAGATGAGCTTCAGTTACAAGGAAACTTTTAAGCGCGGGAAAAAGCGAATGGCTTAGTTGTGGTTGGTTTAAGTTACAGATCTGGTGAAACGAACGAAAAACGAAAAACTAGCTTTTCCAACAAAAAACTAACTTTACTCTCGCAAGTATCCGCCTTAAATAGAGCAAATTAAATGACCAACATCGGGGAAGATTACTTTGCTTCGAACTTCCGCGAAGATTGCTTGTCACGCAACCCTAGTAACGAAGCTTATTGTCGAGAAATCAGCGATTGGATAAGAATCTTGCGATGGTAATAATAACTTTTCTCTAAATTCACTCCAAAAGAAAATCTTGACGTTACAATATACCAAATGAGTTTCCTGACATTGATGTAGTGGTGACTTTGTTATTGAATAAAAGTTCCCATCAGGGTATTTTTTTTTATATATATTTTTTACGATAAAATTATTTTTTATCTCTCTATAGAATAAATGGAAACATCGATCATTAACAAAAGCACTAACCCTATGGAGACATATCGATCGAAAAACTAACTGTATATCCGCAAGTATTTGCCGTAATTAGAAGAAATTAAATGACGAGCTTCCGGAAGGTTACTTGTCACGAAATTCGAGTAACGAGGAAATTGAAGCTTATTGTCGAGAAATTGACGATTGGATAAGAATCTTGGGATGGCAATCAGAACTTTTCTCTAAATTCAATCTAATATGGGAACAATTCAATGCAGAGTTACTCTCTACCATGCATATAAGAGTCTATGTCATTTCTATGTTGACTTGCTTCAGACATCTAGGAACTTGGCCTGTAAGCGGAGCGCCATCGAAACGACTTTTCAATCCTTACTGCTGTAATGTAATTTTTCACCTCAGTTGGGGGATACAGAGATGGACAAGGTGGCAGATGAGTGGGTGGTGCTTGGTTGTAATATTGAGGAGGCTGATTGTTGCGGGTAATGAATAAAAGGGGTAAGTTTTAAAGAGACTGTGGTGCTGTGTCGGTGGGAGAGTATAGCAAGGTGTTTAGTATTATCAACTGAGTTGATAACGCAGTTGGTCACCGTAAAAAGTTTAAAAGTTGACGTTTCGAGCGTTAGCCCTTCATCAGAGTGATGTTGTTTCGGCTGTTGGGTGATGATCGCAGCATCGAGTGTACAATGACGTTAGCACGGACAAGGAGCACAGCGTTCTATCTCAAATTACATTACAGCACTAAGGGTTGTATTTATTTCCCGGACAATTATAAGGCTAGAGGCAAATTAAAAGCGTTTCTCTTTAAATTGTAAGTTTAGTTTGGTATTCAACACGCGACCTGACCTTTCCTTTCTCGACGTCTTATCAACGTCGCCACATCCAGCTCTCTTTTGATTATGGTGATTACATCACGCGAACCTCATGACTACGATAGTAAAACATCGCAGTTTTCCTTGCATTTTACTTTTTTGATATGAGCGAACTTGCAATCGTCGAAGTCTCATTCTTCACTGCCAACCCAATTTAGTCAAAACCACCTGGGGTCCATCGCGGCTAGCTCATCATGGCAGTCTCCGGTCTTCGCAGTAAAGCAAGCCTCGGAAATTACATCGACCGCCCTTCATGTGAACAACTAAGAGCCTGCTCTGACATCCTTTCCGATGTGTTGAGTGGAAGGCCACATCAGTCACAGTAGCCGAGTTGTACGGCGTGGTCATCTAGAGCAATCTTTCTGTTCCTGTGAAACACGCGCTATAAGCCGTTTGTCTTCTAATTGTCATGTGGAAAAAAAATTGCGTGCTTTCACGAGCTTCAATTCGGCCGGATACTAAACACTTGACTTTCATAATCTAAAAGAAAGACTAAAAAACTTGAAGTAAACGTGTTAAATTCGACCGGCCGAACTATTTTAGTAGATTGTGTTGATATTTCGTAGATGTTTGATGATTTCTGTACCTGATGGTTTGACATTTTTGACAACTTTAGTCGTTCAACCAATCAGATTATTTGAACTACTCTAACAAGGATTCTGATTGGCTTATTGTAGCGTGCGTAATGAAAGTATAGAGCATGCTGACGACACTGTTGTTCTCTATGGAAATAAAGTTTGTTTTGAAAATTGTAAGTAATGCCTGGGGAGTTAATCAGATTCTTATAAAACAAATAGAGATCCCTTGACTATGCTCTGTTCTGTTCTAAAGCACTCAGAAAAGTGGGTAAAGCACTCAAGAAGTGGGCAGCTCTCAAGAAGAGAAACACGAAACGTAGTTGAGTGTTTCTCCCCACAACTCTTTCGTGCTTTAGCCGCTTCCGGCGTACTTTACAACAGAACAGAACACAGTCAAGGCCTCTCTATTTGTTAAATCAACATCAGCACATCCGGTTCTATAAAGACTATTGTAATTACATCCGTGAACCTTATGATTATGATTTAAAATATCGTAGTTTTCCTTGCATTTACTTCTCTGATAAGAGTGAACTTGCAATTTTCGAAACCCCATTCTTTACCGCCGACCCAACTTAGCAAAACGTTCTGCTTTTAGCAGGTTTTGGGTCTCACTAAGCCCAACACGAACTTTAATTTTAAATAGTGTCTGCATCTGCCAATATGATGAAGATGTCCGCTTACTACAAGGTCCTTTTAGACAAAATACGGCAGGAAAAATTCGTGATTTAACCAGTTTCTTTTTTAGCTGATTAATGTCTCCTTCATCAGGTTTCATCGTGGAAAAGCTTTCGCCATAAATGCATGATCGGGTTTAAGACTGAAAGCAAAGATGTAACCGTATACATATGTTTTCACCTGGTTGTCTCAATAGATCTCGTTAGTTTTGATGAAACGCCAATTTCTTCAAAAATCGCTCAGATGAAGATTTCGCCACGCTTCCAGACACAAAGCAAAAATTCGGAATATCCGATGCAAAATTTACTTGCGAACCGGTCACCTGCATATCAAACTAAACCTTACACACGGCGACGGATTGACAGAAATTTATTATTCAACAAAATACTGACAACACACAAATGAAAATACTGCTCGAAATCCTCATAGCATTTGCTGTGGAAGGACCTGGTAAAGATTCGATCACCTTAAGGTAAAATTAGAAAAGTAACAAATCTTCCTGAAGCGGAAAAAAGATTTATTACTTCTGTAAATAAAGTTGCAGCTCAAATATAGTAAAACCAACTTAGCTCATCATACAAAACTTTAAACTGAGTAATTCTATTACTGAGATGATCAATTTGTCTGCTATGCTAAACGATCGACATTCGCAGTCTCGAACATTTCATGAGCGGAAATGCATTGAAAACTGTCGATAGAACCATAGACTCAGTCAAATACAGCCAGGTCAGATTAATATGACACTTAAAGTGAAGCTACATTTCTAAGAATACAATATTCATTCTGGAAAATTGGTGCAAATGGCCAGACTCATCCTATCTCCAGAAGAATTCTATGTCTACTTTTTGTTTTTCTTTGAACAACAAAGGCGAAATAGATGTTTAAATTTGCAAATATACAGCGGCTAAGATTAATAGAAGTTAATTTAAGATTAGAGAACCTATTCCTTAACTATCCTCAGAAAAAAAAGTTAAACTGATAACATTTAGTAACTTGACTACGTTTACATCTATGCAAATGAAAAATATAAACCTTAAAGTTATTTATTTCACAGGAACAGTAATGTGCTTGGAGAAGTTACCTTGCAGATTACTTTAATTACATCTCGTTCGGTTGTTTGGCGTTTATTTTAACTGGCATCGACGCCGGTTGAGCTTGTTCCGGCGGTGGAGGATATTGGTTTGTTGGTGGTGGATAGCTTAAGTAGGCCGGAGGAGCTTGACCGACACCTGAAGGAAGCTGATCGCAACCAGCTGGAGGAGGCTGGTTATAACCTGCTGGAGGAGGCAGGTTGTATCCTTCTGGAGGAAGCTGGTTGTAGTTCACCGACGGAGGAGCATGTACTTGTTGCATCGTCATCATGTGGGTTGAGGCCATTTGTTGGTGCGGCTGTCGGCCTGTGACGACTGCAGCACCGGGTGTACGATAGCGGTAGAACGGGCAACAAGCGCAGCAGCAGCAGCATACGATGGAAACGATGATGACGAAGAAGATAATCGTGCCGATAACTGCGCCGGTAATATACCAGCCGCTCCAACCACAGTTTGTGGAACAAACTCCCCCACAACAATCCTCTCCACTATCACACTGTTCGTCGGACGAACAGGAATGGCAAGAAGACGAACTACTGATGCATTTGCTATTACAGCATTTCTTGTCCCATCCACATTCGTTGTCGCTCGTACAGGAATGGCAAGAAGACGAACTACTGATGCATTTGCTATTACAGCATTTCTTGCCCCATCCACATTCGTTGTCGCTCGTACAGGAATGGCAAGAAGACGAACTACCGATGCATTTGCTATTACAGCATTTCATGAGCGATCCACATTCAGAGTCGTACGAACAGGAACAAGAATATGAACAGATGCTGTTACAGCATTCCTCGTTCAATCCACATTCGTCTTTGGACGTGCAGGAACAAGACGACAAATCTCTAGTGCATTTGTGCTTACAGCATTGCTCGCCCCGTCCACAAAAGTAGTTCTGCGTACAGAGACAAATATCGGAACTTCTAGCACACGTATTACTACAGCATCTCTCGTTCGATCCACAATGGCTGTCGCGCCTACAGCCAAAGCAACTCAGTCTGCATACCCCATCTCTACAACAGTTCTTACCGAAACAATCACTCTTATAGGTACAGTTGGCTGCACTTCCCAAGGCAAAGAAGCAGACGAAAAGAAAGCATAAAAGTTCCTTAGTAGCCATTTTCCTTTCACAATTTCAATGGCGTCCGTTTGACGTGAGATAATAATCAGATGAATTAGATGCGGTTGGCTGGTTTCAAATTCTCTCCAGATTAGTTACCGTGGAAACCTCTCTAGATTGTGGGAAAGGTTCAGGGGAAAGGAAAGGAAAATCGAAAATGAAAAGTTGAAGGGGAAAAAGAAAAATGCTGTTACCATACATAATCTCGTAACGGGGATGGTTTAATACCTTTCAAGTCAGGCCAAAGCTAAAATGAGATATTGAACAAAGAACCAAGAAACATCACAAATCTGTTGACCCCATAGTCATTCAAGAAATCACATTCATTCGTAAATATTGATCTCCGATAAAGATACATCCTTTTTGTACATTGCTTTTTCATAGGTGCTTGTGAGCAGCAAACTACAACAGAAAATGTCAACTTGATTTATTTTCTCTCAGCGGTTTCGTCTGGTCACACAGACTTCGTGAGGGAGTTTGAACAAGATGGTTTAAAGGAAATTATTACATACCTCATTTTCAAAGTAATAGTTACGTTCCAATAAGGGCGTGAACAGCGAAGAAAATCAAAATACGAAAAGAAAAACCCAACGTGTAGCGGCTGAGAACGGAAATCAAAAACTGGAAGATTTACCACGGGCCGATTTAGGCCATGTGCCTGAAAGATTTCTTCTGTAGGTAAGAACCAATTCAAGAACTGAAAATTTTTTACGTTGAAAATAGGCTCGTTGTTGTTGTTGTTTTTTTTTTTTAAGCGATTCAACACGTGTTTTCATCTTGAGAGCGCCAACGCACTTTAATATTTTTATTCGGGGATTTTCGATCCTTTTATTTTCATTCATTACTCAAGTTGACTTTTCTTGTCAGTAATGGGCAAATGTGTTTACATGATAAACAAAATAATACCTGGTTGCTTCTAGATATGGAATTTCTCTTCTTGTGTTCAACTTGACATCTAACTCGTGAGCTATCTAGTTTGTCAGAATATATAAAATACGGAAAGAAAAGCAAAATTTACGTATTTAGTGGCTTTGGTAATGGCATTTCTCGCGAGCTGAGAACGAAAATCGACACCAGCATCCTTTCAACCATGTCGTTATTCAAAAAAAAGTATATACACATATGGTCATTCATATATGATAAAAGCCCCTCCGTGCATAAGCCCACAAGGTTATTACGAAGCTCTCATAAGCGGCAGCACTTCGTGACTATAGGTTCCTGAAAGACAACGAAATGTTACGCGATCTTATCGTCTCCTTCTCGCTCATTTTGGAGATAAAGCTCTTTCTATTTGCTTGTTTGTTTGTTTTTTTCTGTGCTCAAATTTGAGTAAAGTGTACCATCAAGCATTTAAACTCGGTTAATTTGACCATTTTAAGCGTTTCAATAAAGCTTGAGCTATTCATTTGTTGACTGACTATGTCACCTTTATTTTATTTTCAGCCTTGGGTATCCCCAACGCTTTATCCAGGGTTTTTGTGATTATTAGGATTCCTAGAAAACATTAAGCATGTACAATATTGGGGGAACTTAGTTCTACGAGGATACGGGAGACCTCGAAACAAACATAGTGTATAGGATATTTGACTAAATTCAGCTGATGAACCCTCGATATCCGTTTCCCTTGAATTAGTATACCAGTAAATCCTAATGTTCATTGGAAGAGATAAAAGGTATGCCATGTCAGGCAACAAATGTGAAAAAAGGGCAATGGATATGCATGTTTATGAAGGTGAATTTGCCAATTTTGGTAAATAGTTTTGCAGATAGAGAGTATGTTTTAAACATTCCATTTTTATCTGATAATAAAGGCCATGTTCACTTACTTCAAGCTTGAATTTTGGGAGATTTGCTTGACGCTCAAAGCTTTCGCCAAATGTAGCCCTTGCACCTCTTTAAAATTGTTTTTATGATTGTTTGTATTTCCAAGGTCCTTATCTAAAGATACTCTTTCTGTGTCACATGTTAATATCCAGCGTAAACGCCTGAAGGCGTCTAGTTTATCCTTCAGTTGTAATGATTGAATAATCAAACAAAAATTAATTCAGTGCGATTTTTGAACATTTATAGTAGTCAAATAATCCGCATTATTGTAGGAATTACATTGTAGTTAGAAATAAACGCTTTTCAATTAGAATTGTGTCTCTAGGAATATGGAAGCCCAGAGGGGAGAGCCTATCTGAAATTTAAAGTTTTCAGCCAAATTTACAGGCAAAGTACACGAAATGTAAAGGCCAACCATTCGACAGGGGAAGTGCAAACTGAGAGATTATATTGAATTAAACTCAAAGCGACTATGCGTTTGCCTACAGTTCTACCCAAAATTGGATCAACAGTAAGGGTTGTAGTTATATCATAGACAATTATGGGGCTGGAGGGAAATTAAAAACGTTTCTCTTTAAATTGTAAAGTGTAGTTTGGTATTCAACATGCTGTCTGACCTTTCTAAACGTCGACACATCCGGCCCTGTTTTAATTATCATGGTAGTTACATCACGCGAACCTCATGACTATGACTGTAAACCTTGTAGTTTTCCTTGTTTTTTAACTGAAATTGTCGAGACCTTATTCTTCACCGCCAACCCAGCTTAGTAAAAACATCTGCTTGTAGGAGGTTTTGAGTCTCACGAAGCCCAACTTCAAATAGTGTCTGCATCTGCTAATATGATGAAGATCTCCACCAAATACATGGTCCTTTTAGACTAAACGTGGCAAGACAAAAATTGGGATTTAACTGCTTTCTTTTAGCTGATTAATGTCTCCTTCATCAGGGTTCAATAGTTCATTTGGGCAAATCGCCCAAACGCCAACTTCTCAATAAATCGTTCATATTGAAATTTTCGTCACGTTTGCAAGCACAAAGAAAGAGTTGAGAATATCCGATTTAAAATTCACTTGCGAACCGGTCATCTGCATATCAAACTAAACCTTACACACGGCGGCGGATTAACAAAAATTTATTGTTCAAAATAATAGTGACAACACACAAGTGTAAATACTACTTAAAAAACAGCATTTGCTATGGAAGGATCTGCTAAAGATCCGATCAGCTTAAGGCAAAACTAGAAAAAGTAACAAATCTCCCTAAAGCGGAAAATGATTACTTACGTCTGTAATTAAGGTAGCAGCGTAAATGTAGTAACAATCTATTACAAAGATTTTCAATTTGACCGCTGTACGACACGATGGACACTGAACATTTCTCAAAATTTCACAAGCGGAAATAGATTGAAAACTGTAGAAAACTGTACAGCCAGATCGGTTTAATGCGACACTTTAAGTGTAAACTACATTTCTACGAAAGACATATTCTTTAAGGAAAAGTGATGCAAATGGCCGGACTCATCTATCTCCAGTGTACTTGTTGCGTCGTCATCATGTCGCTTGAGACAATTTGTTGTTGTGGCTTTTGGCCGGCGGCGACCACAGTACTAGGTGTACGATAACGGTACTATGGGCAACAAGCACAGCAGCGGCAAAATACGATGAAAATGATGATGGCGAAGATGATAATCGTGCCTAAAATAGCTCCGCCGCTCCAAACACAGTATGACAAACAAACTCCCCCACAACAATCCTCTCCGATGTCACACTGGTCGTCGGACGAACAGAAACAAGAGGACGAACTACTGTTGCATTTGCTATTACAGCCTTCCTTGCTCGATCCACATTGGTAGTGGTACGAACAGGAACAAGAAGACCAACCACTGATGCATTTGCTTTTATAGTATTTCTTCCCCAACCCACACTGGAAGTCGTACGAACAGGAACAAGAAGAGAAACTCCTGATAAATGTCCTATCACAGCATTGCTCGTTCGATCCACATTAGACATATGGTATTACAGAATTGCTAGCTCAATCCAAATTAGTAGTTATACGAACAACGCTGTCTGCAGAGCTTAACCGGTACAACAGGACTGACGGTAGGAACAACCACTGTCGTAGATGCATTAGGTAGCACTTCACAAGACAAAGAAACAGACGAGAAGAAAGCATAAAAGATCTTTAGGGGCCATTGTCCTTTCACAATTTCGATGGCTTTCTCTCAATGTGGGACAATAATCGCTTAGCTGGTTTCCAAATTCTCACCAAACACTTATTTAACTTATTTAAAGTTTTCAGCCAAATTTACGAGCAAAGTGCGCGAACTGTAAACGCGAGCGACTCGACGGGGGAAGTGAAAACTGAAAGATCATAACGAATTAAACTTAAAGCTATTCGTTTGCCTTCAGTTCTATCGCAAACTAAATCAAAAGTAAGGATTTATTTCCCGGACAATTATAAGGCTAGAGGCAAATTAAAAGCGTTTCTCTTTAAATTGTAAAATTTAGTTTGATATTCAACATGCTTTCTGACCTTTCTCAACGGTAATTACATCACACGAACCTCATGACTATGATTGTAAAACATTGCAGTTTTCTTTGCATTTTACTTCTCTGATAAGAGTGAAATTGCAATTGTCGAAACCTCTTTCTTCACTGCCAACCCAATTCAGTAAAACCACCTGTGGTCCATCACAGTACCTCATTATGACGATCTCCGGTCTTCGCAGTGAAGCAAGCCTCAGAAATTATATCGGCCACCCATCGAGTGAACAACTAAGATCTTGCTCTGATATCCTTTCCGATGCGTTGAGTGGAAGGCCACATCAGTCACAGTAGCTGAGTTGTACGACGCTGTCATCTAGAGCAATCTTTTTGTTCCTGTGAAACACGCGCCTTATCATTCTGTATTAGAGACTAAAAATAAAGTCAGGCAAACGTGTTGAATTCCACCTGCCGAACTATTTCGTTTTGTAAAGTATTGTATATTTTGATGTTTGATGATTACTGAACTTTGATGGTTTGATATTTTTGACAGTTTTCGTCTCGCCCAACCAATCAGATTATTTGACCAGTTCTGACAAGGATTCTGATTGGCTTACTGAAGCGTGCTTAATGAAAGTATAGAGCATACTCACGACACTGCTGTTTGCAAATAAAGTTTGTTTTTTGAATTGGAAGTAATGCGTGGGGAATCGAAAAGCCTTGACTGTGCTCTGTTCGGTCGTAAAGCACTTAGAAAGGCGGCTAGAGCTCTCAGGAGGTGGGGAGAAACACGAAACGTAGTTGAGTGTTTCTCCCTATACTTCTTTCGTGCTCTAGTCGCTTGCTGCGTGCTTTACAACAGAACAGCGCACAGTCAAGGCCTCTCTATTTGTTAAATCAACGTCAACACATCCGGCTCTGTAGAGACTATGGTAACTAAATCACGCGAACCTCAGGACTATGATAGTAAAAAACCTCAGTTTTCTGATAAGAGCGAACTTGCAATTGTCAAAACCTCTTTCTTCATTGCCAACCCAACTTAATAAAACCATCTGCTTCTAGCAGGTTTAGGGTCTCACAAAGCCCAACTTGAATGTTAATTTCAAATTGTGTCTGCATCTACTAATATGATGAAGATGTCCGCCTACTACAACGTCCTTTTAGAATAATACGGCAGGAAAAATTCGTGATTTAGCCGGTTTCTTTTAGCTGATTAATGTCTCCCTCATCAGGTTTCATCGTAAAAAAGCTTTCCGACAATTGCATGATTAGGTTTAATACTGAAAGCAAAAAATGTAACCGTGTACGTATGTTTTCACCCGGTTGGTCTCTCGAAAGATCTCGTCAGTGTTGATGAAAGTAAATCGCCCAAACGCCAATTTCTCAACAAATCGCTGAGATCAAATATAAGTCATGTTTACAAGCGCAAAGAAAAAGTTCGGAATATCTGATGTAAAATTCACTTGCGAACCGGTTACCTGCATAAAAAACTAGACCTTACTACAAAGATTATCCATTTAACCGCTATACGACACGATCGACATTGGCAATCTTGAAAATTTCATAAGTGCCTTGAAAACTGTCGACTGAAGCATAGACTGGGTTAAATACAGCCAGATGGGTTTAATATGACACTAAAAGTGTAACTACATTTCTAAGAATACAATATTCATCATGGAAAATTAATGCAAATAACCAGACTCATCTCTCTCCAGAAGAAATCTGTCTCTAGCTTTTGTTTTTTTTTTGAACCTCAAAGGCGAAATAGATGGTCAAATTTGCAAATGTATGGCGTGCAGATCATGCCGGCTAAGATTAGTATAAGATAATTTAAGATGAGAGAACCTATTCCCTAACTTAAATCTTTAAAACTATCCTTAAAAAAAAATACACGGATAACATTTAGTAACTTGACTACGTTTATATCCATGTAAATGGAAACTATAAACCAAAAGTACTTATTATTTCACCGGAACAGTGATGTGCTTGGAGAAGTTCCCTTGCAAGTTACTATAATTACATCTCGTTCGGTTGTTCGGTGTTTACTGCTGCTGGCATCGGCGCCGCTTTCGCTTATCCCAGGCGCTGGAGCATATTAGTTTGTTAGTGGTGGACAGCTTGAGTGAGGCGGAGGAGCCTGATTGAAACCTGGAGGATGCTTGTGGTAACCAGCTGGAGGAGACTGGCTGTAACCTGTTGGAGGAGGCTGGTTGTATCCATCTGGAGAAGGCGGGATGTAGTTCAACGGCGGAGGAGCATGTACTTGTTGCGTCGTCATCATGTGGGTTGAGACCATTTGTTGTTGCGGTTGGCCGGTGACGACCACAGTACCGGGTGTACGATAGCGGTAGTACGGACAACAAGCACAGCAGCAGCAGGATACGATGGAAATGATGATGGCCAAGAAGATAATCGTGCCGATAAAAGCGCCTGCAATAGCTCCACCGCTCCAACCACAGTATGAGGAACAAACTCCCTCACAACAATCCTCTCCAATGTCACATTCGTAGTCGTACGTGCAGGAACAAGAAGACGATTTACTGATGCATTTGCTATTACAGCATTGCTCGCCACTGTCACATTGGTGGTCGTATGAACAGGAACAAGAAGACGAACTACTAATGCATTTTTTATTACAGCATTTCTTGCCCCATCCACATTGGTTGTCGTACGAACAGGAACAAGAAGAGAAACTACTGATACATATGCTATTACAACATTGTTTGTTCGATCCACATTGGTAGTCATACGAACAGGTAGAACATTGCCGTCTGCAAACATTATAGGCACAACATTTCTTATCAATGGAACAATCACTGTCGTAGTTACAGTAGGTAGTACCTCCCAAGGCAAAGAAACAGACGAAAAGAAGACATAAAAGTTCCTTAGAAGCCATTGTCTTCTCACAATTTCAATTGCGTGTGTTCGATGTGAGGAAATAATTAGATGAATTAGATGCGGTTGGCCCAACTTGAATTTTAATTTCGAATAGTGTCTGCATTTATCAATATGATGAAGATGTCCGCCAAATACAAGGCCCTTTTAGACTGAATATGGCAGGACAAAATCGGGATTTAACCGGCTTGTTTTAGTTGATTAATGTCTCCTTCATCAGGTTTCATCGTAGAAAAGCTTTCGCGACAAATGCATGATTAAGTGTAACTATATTTCTAAGAATACAATATTCATTATGGAAAATTAATGCAAATAACCAGACTCATCTCTCTCCAGAAGAAATCTGTCTCTAGCTTTTGTTTTTCTTTGAACCTCAAAGGCGAAATAGATGGTCACATTTGCAAATGTACAGCGTGCAGATCCTGCCGGCTAAGATTAGTGTAAGTTAATTTAAGATGAGAGAACCTATTCCCTAACTTAAACCTTTTATTGTGCCGGATAGTGTGCAAAATTCTCACAACGCACAACAAAAGGAAAAAAACGTCCCTATTGGCTGGTCAAAAATATGCCACATTTTATACTATGGTTTGAGCGAGAACATTTGATCCAGTTAACCGATAACTGTGAATGAAAAGCTCAAAATTTAAGGGGAAAATGCTAAAATCAAAAATCTAAATGAACTCAAGTGTCACTGGAAAATGTTTTGAAAGTCTAAGACCCGAAGTTATCAAGAGTTTTAATTGTTTAAAATAATGTTTACGCTGCCGTGCATGGTGCAATCGGAGAAAACTTGCAACAAAATGCTCACGTCATCTTATTTACGCAAGCCCGTGCGTAAATAAAGATTTTGTTCATAGCGGTTCGATAGGACTTATATAGGGCAAGCACGCGCGCTACGTTATAAACAGTTCTTACCAATGAAACAATCACTGTCGTAGTTACAGTAGGTAGCACCTCCCAAGGCAAAGAAACAGACGAAAAGAAGACATGAAAGTTCGTTAGAAGCCATTATCCTTTCACAATTTCAATGGCGTGTGTTCGATGTGAGGAAATAATTAGATGAATTAGATGCGGTTGGCTGATTTTCAAATTCTCTCCTGATACTTAACCATGGAAACCCCCAAAGGGGTGATGGATGGTGGGAAAGGGACAGGGGAAGGGGAAAGGGAATCGGTAGGGTAAGTTGAAGGGAAAAGGGAGAAATGCTGTTACCATGCATAATCTCGTAACGAGTATGGTTCAATACCTTTCAAAACCGAAAGTTCCGGATTCAGTGGCTTTGTTAATATCATTTCTCCAAGCTGTCAAAGAAAACCGACACCAGCATTCTGTTAACCCCGTAGGTCATTCCAAAAAAATAAAAATAATCTTTTATATATGATAAAAGTTCCTCCGTGCATTAGCCCACCAATTCATTACGAGGCTCTCATAAGCGGCAGCACTTCGTGGTTATAGGCTCCAATAAGACAAATAAATATTACTTGGAGATCAAGCTGCCCTTATTTGCTCGTTTGTTTTTCTCTGTTTTAGCTGAATGATAATTCTATTTAAAATCCCTAACAATCCTTCAGTCTTATTACTCGGGCTATGCAGGTAGGCTGAGTCTAGGTTTCAGTGTCCTTTCTATCCATCTATCGACAACGTCGAAAGTGTGTAAGCCTGCATTGCTGGAGGGTCTGCGGTATTCCTTTGCAAGTATGAAAGCGAAGCAACCGTGAAACCGGGGTGGCTGACGATAAAACTTGGGACTTGGTTTGCTCTTCCTAGGTCTCTTTGCTCTCTGCCTCTGGTGGTGCGAAGCTTGATTGAAAATCATGAATAATTGCTTCCCTTCTGGAACGCTTAAAGTACTTACAAACGCACACACCATTCGCGGTAGACCCATACTAAAAGATATCGAGCGTCAGCTTCAAAACGGGTCGTTCCGCCAACCAAAGAAATGCCATAACAATGCCAAAATTACTCAAAACAATGCTAAGGGCAATGTCAAAAACAATGCCAAAGATACTCAAACGACCTCAAAATTACTCGAGCACGCTCGCACAAACGAACAAATACCGACTGTTTAATAAGAAGGGACTTCACTGAGGAATGCTCTGAGGAAAAAGTCAGAGAAAATATTCCAAGGAACATGAACGCCATATTTGAATTTTTCATTTAATGCGTTAACAGAACCAGGAAACCTTGGACTTATATCGGTGACAATAAGGATTAGTTTTTTATTAGTTGTATTGTTTTTCTTAACGACGTTAAACAGTTTCTTCAACAGGCTATCGTTTGTTCAACTATCACCAGCTAGCCTTTTGATTATATCACTATAATACCTTAAGCTTATACCGCTTATTTTAATGAGGTATAATGTATCATCATACCTTTACAATACCTTCAAGGTTTTAAGCTCCGTTATGATACGAGAAATTAATTATTGAACTCGTCATGAACATGTCATTTGAAATTTATATAGATAAAAATAATCCTGCACAGATATAATTACCCTACACCCTCAAGCATCTAGGCTCGGTTTATGTTTATTCTTTTATGATAAGTGTAATTAATGATTGGATCCACATGTCAATTGAAATTTCTATAGATTACTTGCACAAATTTGAGTAAACTGTACCATCAAGTATCTAAACTCGGTTAATGTTTATGCTGTTATATTGATCATTTTTAGCGTTTCAATAAAGCTTGCACTATTCATTTGTTGACTGACTATTTCACCTCTATTTTATTTTCGGCCTTGGGTATCCCTAACGCTTTGTCCACGGTTTTTGTGATTATTAGGATTCCAAGAAAACATTAAGCATGCACAATACTGGGCGGAATTTAGTTTTACAAGGATACGGGAGACCTCGAAACAAACATAGTATACAGGATATTTGACTATCTTTGTAAAATTGACCTAATAAACCCTTGATTTCCGTTTCCTTTGAATTAGCATACCAGTAAATCCTAATGTTAATTGAAAGAGATAAAAGGTATGCCATGTCAGGCAACAAATGTGAAAAAAGCAGCGGATATGCATGTTTTTGAGGGTGAAAATTTGCCGATTTTTGGTATATAGATTTGCAGATAGATAATATGTTTCAAACATTCTATTTCTATCTGATAACAAAGGCCACATTCACTTTCTTCAAGCTTGAATTTTTGATATTCAAAGATGCTCTTTCTGTGTCACACATAAGCCGGGGTAACGCCTCTAAGCGTCCAGTTTATCCTTCAGTTGTAATGGTTGAATAACAAAGCGATATAAATTAATTCAATTTGATTTCGAAACATTTATAGTAGTCAAGTAATCCGTATTATTGTAGGAGTTAGGTTGTAGTAAAAGCCAGCCACTCGACGGGGGAAGTGCAAACTGAAAGATTATTATGAATGAAACTAAGCTATGCGTTTGCCTTCAGTTATATCCAAACCTAGATCAACAGTAATGATTGTACAATTTCATGGACAATTATAGGGCTGGAGGCAGATTAAAAACGTTTCTCTTTCAATTTTACAGTGTAGTTTGGTATTCAACATTCTTTCTGACCTTTCTCAACGTCTTATCAACGTCGACGCATCCGGCTCTGTTATGATTATGGTAATTACATCACGCGAACCTCATGACTATGACTGTAAAACATCACAGTTTTCGTTGTATTTTATTTCTCTGATACGAGCGAACTTGCAATTGTCGAAACTGCATTCTTCACTGCCAACCTAGCATAGTAAAACCAACTGCTTGTAGCACGTCTTAGGTCTCACAAAGCCCCGCTTCAAATAGTGTCTGCATCTGCCAAATGAACATGATGAAGATGTCCGCCAAATACAAGGTCCACTTATTGAAGGACAAAATCGGGATTTAACCGGTTTCTTTTAGATGATTAATGTCTCCTTCATCAGGTTTTATCGTAGAAAAGCTTCCGCGAAAAATGCACGATCAGGTTTAATTCTGGAAGCAAAGTTGTAATCGTATACAAATGTTTTCAGCTGGTAAGTCTCAAAAGTCACTTTCTCAAGAAATCGCTCAGATGAAATTTTCGCCACGCTTACAGGCACAAAGTAAAACTTCGGAACATCCGAAGTAAAATTCATTTGCGAACCGGTTACTTGCATATCAAACTGAATCTTACACACGAAAGCGGACTAACAAAAATTGATTTTTCAAAAAAATTGTGACAACACACAAATGCAAGTACTGCTCGAAATCGACAGAGCATTTGCTGTCGAAGGATCTGCTAAAGATTCGATCAACTAAAAATAGAAAATGAAAAAAGTAATTAATCACGTCTGTAAATAAGGTAACAGCTGAAATAAAGCAAATCAGTTATGAGCATTATGAGCTCGGTTGGATGATCCAACCTAGCTCATAATACCAACTTTTAACCTTTGTCATTCTATTACCAAGATTATCGTTTTGACTGCTATACGACACGATTGACATTCGTGAAACTACAATTCTAAGAATACAAAATTCATTCTGGAAAATCAATGCTAATGACCGGACTCATCTATCTCCAACAAAAATCCTCTCCACAAGAAATCTGTGGTACTTTTTGTTTTTCTTTGAACGACGATGGTGAAATAGGTCGAATTTGCAAATATACAGCGTGCATATCATGACGAAGATTAATATAATTTCATTTAAGATTAGAGAACCTATTCCCTAACTTAGACTTCTAAAACTATCCTTAGAAAATCTTACACAACATTTTGTAACTTTACTACGTTTACATCTATTTAAATGGAAAATATATATCAAAGGTATTTATTTCACCGCAACGGTGATCTGCTCGCAAAACTTGCCTTGTAGGTTACTTTAATAACATTTCGTTCGGTTGTTAGGTGTCTACCACAGCTGGCATCGGCGCCACTTTAGCTTGTCTAAGCGGCGGAGAATATTGGTTTGGTGGTGGTGGACAACTTGAGTAAGACGGAGGAGTCTGAATTAAACCTGGAAGAGTCTGGTCGTATCCATTTGGAGGAGGCTGGCTGTGACTTGCTAAGGGAGGCTGATTGTAGTTCACCGGCGGAGGAGCATGTACTTGTTGCGTCGTCATCATGTGGGTTGAGACTATTTGTTGTTGCCGCTGTTGGCCGGTGACGACCACAGTACCAGGTGTACGGTAGCGGTAGTATGGGCAACAAGCACAGCAGCAACAGGATGCGATGGAAATTATGATGGCAAAGAAAATAATCGTGCCGATAACAGCCCCTGCAATAGCTCCACCACTCCAACTACAGTATGAGGAACAAACTCCTCCACAACAATCCTCTCCAATGTCACACTGGTCGTCGGACGAACAGTTACAAGAAGACGATTTACTAATGCATTTGCTTTTACAGCACTGCTCGCCACTGTCACATTGGTAGTCGTACGAACAGGAACAAGAGGACCAACTACTGATGCATTTGCTATTACAGCATTGCTCGCCACTGTCACATTGGTAGTCGTACGAACAGGAACAAGATGACGAACTACTGATGCATTTGCTATTACAGCATTGCTCGCCACTGTCACATTGGTAGTTGTGCGAACAGGAACAAGATGACGAACTACTGATGCATTTGCTATTACAGCATTTCTTGCCCGATCCACATTGGAAATCGTACGAACAGGAACAAGAAGAAAAACTACTGATGCATTTTCCATTACAGCATTTCTCGCTCGATGCACATTGGTAGTTGTACGAACAGGCACAAGAAGACAAAGTACTGATGCATTTGCCATTACAGCATTTCTTGCTCGATCCACATTGGGAGTCATACGAACAGGAACAAGAAGAACTACTTTTACATTGGCTTTTACAGCACTGCTCGTTCGATCCACATTGGTAGTCGTACGAACAGACATTACAAAGCTGTCTGCAGACTTTATCTGTACAACAGGACTGAAGATAGGAACAATCACTGTCGTAGGTACAGTAGGTAGCACCTCCCAAGGCAAAGAAACAGACGAAAATAAAGCATAAAAATTTCTTGGAGGCCATTGTCCTTTCACAATTTCAATGGCTTCTATTCGATGTGAGAAAATAATTAGATGCAGTTTGCTGGTTTCGAAACTATCTCCTTACACTTTACCATGGAAACCCCTATAGACGGTGGGAAGGGGGCAGGGGAAGGGGAAAGGGAATCGGTAGGGGAAGTTGAAGGGGAAGAGGAGAAGAGAGGTGAAATTCTGTTACAATGCATAATCTCGTAACGGGGATGGTTCAGTATCTTTCAAGTCAGGCCAAAACATTAATTGACTTGAAAGCCAAGAGATTGCACAAACAACCTAAAGACGTCACAAATATATGTTAAGGCTGTCCACAGGCGGCCCAAGCTTCACCTGAGAGATGATCATCTTGCGCAATAATAGCGATGGAGGAATTATAAGAGTTTGTATGGGAATATTTACGACCGCTCTAAGGAATAAAACAATACGTCAAATTCATAATAAAAATATCTCACCTTTCTTCCATAGCGTATCACTTATCATCTGACCGCTTACTTTGATGAAAAGAACGCATTTTAGCGAGTTGTCAATTTAAAGGTTCTCAACGTACACGAGAAAAGCCCAAGGCTGAACACTCCATTTCCGAACGCTCGATCTGAGAAGCGAAACATTCCAGCGCAAAATGACCGGGCGGCCACAAATCCAACGCAGAATCCAAGCACATATACTGTACTTTCATTTCAATTCACTACAAACTCAATCTTCCCCGTGCAACCAACGCTAAGCCGCAGTTTGCTCCAAAAAGTTCTAGTTTAGAGGTTTCTTACAGCCCGCGTCCACATCAACCTTGACAAACGATCGTTGAAAACGAGTTGGGTAGCCTTGCCTCCTTTTTAAACTGAGCCTCGCCGGGGACCATACTGTAACTTGGCATGAAGAAATTATCTTAGCACCATGGGTGCCAAATTACGGTGGAGTCCCCGGCGAGGCTCAGTTTAAAAAGGAGGCAAGGTTACCCAGGTTACCCAGCTGGTTTTTTTCAACGGTCGCTGTGGGCGCCATGACTATTATTGCGCAAGATGATCATCTTACAGCTGGAGCTTGGGCCGCCTGTGGGTTGTCGTCATTAAAAAAAACACGGTCATTCGTAAATATTGATCTCCGTTAAAGATATCTTTCTTTAATTTTTTTTTTATGAGTGCTAGTGAACAGTAAACAGCTATAGATCTTGTCAACTTGATTTGTTTTTCTCCCAACCGTTTCGTCTGATCACACAGACTTCGTGAAGGAGTTTGAACAAGATGGTTTAAGGGAACTTATTACATACCTTAATTACAGAGTACAAGTCACGTTCCAACAAGGCCGTCAACAGCAATAAATACTCACGTAACGTACGTGCAGGATATCACTGAAATCCTGCGCGATGTTGAGTTTAATTTTTGGGCTCTCGGATTTAACGTTGAGTGAAGATTTCAAGGTGCGAGGTTACACGAGTTGAGTTTTCGTTACAAGGGAGCTGATGAGCGCGGTAAAAAGCGATTGATCTAGTTGTGACTGGTTTAAGTTCTGGATCTGGTGAAGAATATTAAACGATCCGAGGTTTCTTTTAACAAGTTTTGAATACTCTACTGATGAAGTTAGAAGTTTGTACAACAACAAGAAAGCCGTATCATTATCCATGATTAACATGTACCTTGAAACAACCGCCTTTGTAAACCCAAGTTTCTTACCATTATTTTTGCAGTTTACGATTTACAGACGCAACTCCACTTTATTAATATAAAAAACCTGATAAATGCCACTTCAAAAAATAGAATATAAAAAACTTTGATTTTAAAGAAAAATGCAATATACAAAAATTAGTTTCCTGACATTGAAGTAATTGTGACTTTTTTACTTGATAAAAGTCCGCTTTTAGGTATTTTCTTTTCTTTTGATTAATATTTTTACGATAAAAATAATTTTTTAGCTCTCAATAGAATAAATAGAAACATCATAAACAAGGGCACTAATTCTATGGAGACATATCTGGATCCATCGAAAAACTAAATAACTGTATTTCCGCAAGCATCCGCCGTGATTAGAGGAAATGAAATGACGAACTTCCGGTAAGATTACTTGTCACGCAATTCGAGTAACGAGGACATTAAAGCTTACTGTCGAGAAATCTACGACTGGATAAGAATCTTGGGATAGCAATCATAACTGTTCTTTAAATTCAATCCAACCTGTTGGCAGATCATGGCAAAGGAGTCTATCTCATACCTGAATACGTCAAATAAAATGAGTTGTTGTTTGTTTCTTCTTAGATGTCTGACTTGCTTCAGACATCTAAGTACTTGGCTAGTGAGCGGGACGCCATCGAAACGACTTGTCATTGTACCTCAGATGAAGGATACACAGTTGGATAAGGTGGCGGATAAGTGGGTGGTGCCTGGTTGTAACCCTGAGGAGGCTGATTGTAACCCATTGGAGCGAAGGAGGAGCTTGTACCGGCTGCGTCATCATCGTGTGCCTGTGAGTTGGGACGAACAGTTGTTGCGGTAATGAATAAAGGGGTAAGTTTCTAAAGAAACTGTGATGCTGTGTCGGTGGGAGAGTATAACAGGGTGTTTAGTAATATCAACTGAGTTGATAACGTAAATTGGTCACCGTAAATACTGTAAGTTTAACAATTTTCTTTGGAGACGTTATCTATACAACAGGATTCAAGGACCGAACAATCAGAGCGTTTCGAACGGTATTTACCATTTCCAATTCGAATTATGTCACTGGGAACATGGAAGCCCAAATTTTTTAGCCAAATTTACAAGCAAAGTGCGCGAAATGTAAACACCAGCCACTCGACGGGGAAAGTGCAAACTGAAAGATTATAACTGATTAGACTCAAATCTATGCATGCGTTTGCACCGTCATATGCATGATCCGCGCGGACTGGGGCTAGGAGGGAGATTGGTTTCTACAACATGCTTTCTGACCTTTTTCAACGTCTTATCAACGTCGACACATCCGGCTCTGTTATGATTATGGTAATTACATCACGCGAACCTCATGAGTATGATTGTAAAACATAGCAGTTTTCCTCGTATTGTACTTCTCTGATAAGAGTGAAATTGCAATTGCCGAGACCTCTTTCTTCACTGCCAACCCAAGTTAGGAAAACCATCTGAGGTCCATCGCGGCTAGCTCGTCATGGCGGTCTCCAGTCACCGCAGCGAAGCAAGCCTAAGAAATTACATCGGCCGCCCTTCGAGTGAACAACTACGATCTTGCTCTGATATCCTTTCCGATGTCTTGAGTGGAAGGCTACATCAGTCACAGTAGCAGAGTTGTACGGCGTGGTCATCTAGAGCAATCTTTCTGTTCATGTGAAACACGCGCCTTAAACAGTTTGTTTTCTAATTGTCATGTGAAAATAAAATTCTGTGCTTTCACGAGCTTCAATTCCGCCGGATTTCACTAAACATTTGACTTCTATATTCTGTATTAGAGACTGAAAAACTTCAGGTAAACGTGTTAAATTCAACCTGCCGAACTATTTTCGTAGATTGTGGTGATGTTTCGTAGATGTTTGATGATTTCAGAACTTGATGGTTTGACATTTTTGACAGCTTTAGTCTTGTTCAACCAATCAGATTATTTGAACTATTCTAACAAGGATTCTGATTGGCTTATTGTAGTGTGCGTAATGAAAGTATAGAGCATGCTGACGACACTATTGTTCGCTTTGGAAACAAAGTTTGTTTTGAAAACTAGAAGTAATGCGTGGGGAATTGATCAGCGTTGACTGTGCTCTGTTCTGTTGTAAAGCACTCGGAAAGGTGGCCAGAGCACTCAAGAAGTGGGGAGAAACACCCAAATTCATTTCGTCTTTCTCCCTACACTTCTTTTGTGCTCTAGCCGCATCCGGCGTGCTTTACAACAGAACAGAGCACAGTCAAGGCCTCTTTATTTGTTAAATCAACGTTAACGTCAACACTTCCGGCTCTATAAAGACTACAGTAATTATATCCGCGAACCTAAGAGCTATGATGTAAAACATCGCAGTTTTCCTCGCATTTACTTCTCTGATAAGATCGAACTTGCAATTTTCGAAACCTAATTCTTTACCACCAATCCAAATTAGTAAAAACATCTGCTTCTCGCAGGTTTTGGGTCACACAAATTTTAATTTCAAATTGTGTCTACATCTGTCAATATGATGAAGATGTCTGCCAAATACAAGGTCCTTTTAGACTAAATAATAGGAAAAAATCCGGGATTGAACCGGTTTGTTTTAGCCAATTAATGTCTCCTTCATCAGGTTTCATCGTAGAAAAGCTTCCGCGACAAATGCATGACCGGGTTTGAAACTGAAAGCAAAGATATAACCGTATACATATTTTTTCACCTGGTTGGTCTCGACAGATCTCGTCAGTTTTGATGAAAACAAATCATCAAAGGCCAATTTCTCAATGAATCGCTCAGACGACATTTTCGCCATGCTTACAGCCACAAAGTAAAACTTCGAAATATCAGAAGTAAAATTCACGTGCGAACCGGTTATCTGCATAACAATCGGCAGTGCATTAACAAAAATTTATTATTCAAAACGATGGTGACAATACACAAATGTAAATACTTCTCGACATCGACAGCATATGCTGTCGTAAGATATCCTAAAGATCTGATCACCTAAAAATAGAAAATGAAAAAAGCAACAAATCTCACTGAATACTTACATCTGTAAATAAGGTAGCAGCTGTAATATAGTAAATCAAACCGAGCTCATAATACAAATTTTAACCTATGTAATTATATTACTGAGATTGTCAATTTGACTGCTAAGCGACACGATCGACATTCGCAATCTTGAAAATTTCATAAACGGAAATAGATTGAAAACTGTCGATGAAACTATAGACTCGGTTAAACACAGCCTGATCGGTTTAATATGACACTTAAAGTGAGACTACATTTCTAAGAATACAATTATTATATTCATTCTGGAAAATCAATGCAAATGGCAGGACTTATCTATCTCTAACAAAAATCCTTCTTCACAAGAAATCTGCGTCTACTTTTTGTTTTTCTTTGAACGACGATGGCGAAATAGATGTTCAAATTTTCAAATATACAGCAGGCAGATCATGGCTAAGATTAGTATAATTTCATTTGATTAGAGTACCTATTCGCTGACTTATACTTCTTAAAACTATCCTTAGAAAATCTTACATAACATTTGGTATATTGACTACGTTTACATCTATGAAAATGGAAAATAAAAACCAAAGGTTTTTTATTTCACCCGAACGGTGATCTGCTTGGAGAGGTTACTTTGCAGGTTACTTTCATTAGATCTCGTTCGGTTGTTCGGTGTTTACTGCTGCTGGCCTCGGCGCCGCTTTAGCTTGTTCCAGCGGTGGAGGATATTGGTTTGGTGATGGTAAACAGCCTGAGTAAGGCGGAGGAGCCTGATTGAAACCTGGAAGAGGCTGATCGTATCCATCTGGAGGAGGCTGGTTGTAACATAGTAGGGGAGGCTGGTTGTAGTTCAACGGCGGAGGAGCACATGCTTGTTGCGTCGTCATCATGTGGGTTGAGACCATTTGTTGTTGTGGCTGTTGGCCTGTGACGACCACAGTGCCGGGTGTACGATAGCGGTAGTACGGGCAACAAGCACAGCAGCAGCAGGATACGATGGAAATCATGATGGCAAAGAAAATAATTGTGCCGATAACAGCCCCTGCAATAGTTCCACCACTCCAACCACAGTATGAGGAACAAACTCCTCCACAACAATCCTCTCCAATGTCACACTGGTCGTCGGACGAACAGTTGCAAGAAGACGATTTACTAATGCATTTGCTTTTACAGCACTGCTCGCCACTGTCACATTGGTAGTCGTACGAACAGGAACAAGAGGACCAACTACTGATGCATTTGCCATTACAGCATTGCTCGCCACTGTCACATTGGTAGTCGTACGAACAGGAACAAGAGGACGAACTACTGATGCATTTGCCATTACAGCATTTCTTGCCCGATCCACATTGGAAGTCGTACGAACAGGAACAAGAAGAAAGACTACTAATGCATTTGCCATTACAGCATTTCTTGCTCGATCCACATTGGGAGTCGTACGAACAGGAACAAGAAGACAAACTACTGATGCATTTGCTTTTACAGCATTTCTTGCTCGATGCACATTGGGAGTCGTACGAACAGGAACAAGAAGAAAAACGTGTGATACATTGGCGTTTACAGCACTGCTCGTTCGATCCACATTGGTAGTCGTCCGAACAGACAGAACATTGCTGTCTACAGATTTTATCTGTACAACAGGACTGAAGGTAGGAACAATCACTGTCGTCGTTGCAGTAGGTAGCACTTCCGAGCTAAAGCCGAATCATCATCCTTGATTTACATGTACCTTGAATCACCCACCCTTGAAAACCAAAATTTCTTAACATTAGGTTTACAATTTAAGATCGCATCTCCCCTTTCTTAATTTAAAAAAAAAGATCTGGTATATTTCATATTAAAAAGTGAAATATTAAAAACCTTGAGTTTAATGGAAAATCATGACGTTACAATATACAAAAGTTAGTTTCCTGACATTGAAGTAGTGGTGACTTTATTACCGAATAAGAGTTCGCTTTAGGGTATTTATTATTCTTTTTTTGTTCATTTTTTTCTACAATAAAAATCATGTTCTAGCTCTCTATAGAATAAATGGAAACATCGTAAACAAGGGCACTAACTCTATGGAGACACATCGATCGTAAAACCAACTGTATTTCCGCAAGCATCCGCCGTAATTTCATGAAAATTAATGACGAACTTCCGGGAAGATTAATTGTCACACAAGTAATGTTCCGTAGGTCACGTTTCGATGGCGCCTCGCTCACCGGCCAAGTCGCCCAGAAGCAAGTCAACATAGAAACAAATGGCAACTCATTTATATACCGTATTCACGTATGACATAGACTCCTATATGAGTGGTAGAGAGTAATTTTGCATTAACCAGTCTAGGCGTTGGATTGAATTTAGAGAAAAGTTATGATTGCCATCCCAAGATTCTTATCCAGTCGTCGATTTCCCGACAATAAGCTTAAATTTCCTCGTTAGTCGAATTGCTTTCATGCTCAGTTAGATTGTAAGCTTATGAACGGTGAAAAAAATCAAACACAGCTAGCATAATTCTAAAATTATCACCACTAATCGGCGTTACCACCAGCCCTAAATAATCGCTAAAAACTACGACTTATCCACCAGTTGGCGTTATCCGGCTCAGAGGACCAGAATGAATTGTCGCGTTAAACGCTTCCGCCACAAAGATAAGTACTGTAATTCACAATTCAACCATTTATTACTTTTTCTTAACCACGAGGTCGCGTAAAATCACATGACCTTAACGTTAATAATTCAATGGCACGCAATGCGTGCAAACAAGGTAAAAAAATATATTAATATATATAGGAAGTCTGCAAGTCGATTTTTGCGTGGAACAGTGCTCATTACATTGAAGCAGAGAAGAATTAATATTATGAGAGGGAAAAAGGGGCGCAATATCGATGTTCAGTCGCGACAAGCCAACTACGTCTCGTGTTTCTCCCTGCGCTTCTTTCGTGCTCTAGCCGCTTCCTGCGTGCTTTGAAACAGAACAGAGCACAGTCAAGACTTTTTATTTGTTAAATCAACGTCAACACATTCGCTTCTGACTAGGATTGTAAAACATCACAATTTTTCTTGCATTTTACTTCTCTGATACAAGCGAACTTGCAATTGTCAAGACCTCTTTCTTCAATGCCAACCCAACTTAATGAAACCATCTTCTTATAGAAGGTTTTGGTTCTCACAAAGCGCAACTTGAATTTTAATTTCAAATAATGTCTGCATCTGCCAGTATGATGAAGATGTCCGCCAAATACAAGGTCCTTTTAGACTAAATATGGCAGGACAAAGTCGGGATTTAACCAGTTTCTTTCAGCTAATTAATGTCTCCTTCATTAGGTCTCATCGTACAAAAGCTTCCGCGACAAATGCATGATTAGGTTCAAGACTGAAAGCAAAGATGTAGCACTATGCATATGTTTTACACCTGGTTGGTCGCGACAGATCTCGTCAGATTTGATGAAAACAAATCGCCCAAACACAAGCTTCTCAATAAATCGTTCAGATGAAATTTCCGTCACGTTTACAAGCACAAATAAAAAGTTCGGAATATCCGAAGTAAAATTCGCTTGCGAACCAGTCACCTGCATATCAAACTGAACCTTACACACGGCAGCTGATTAACGGCAATTTATTATTAAAAAAACATTGCTACAACACACAAAGCTGAATACTGCTCGACATCGACATAACATATGTTGTCGAAGGATCTGCTGAAGATGCGATCAGCTAAAAGTAATACTTTACAAAGGTAGCAGCTCAGATATTGCAACAACAACCTGGCCAATTCAAAAAAATTTAAGCTGTGATATTCTATTACCGAGATTGACTGTTACACAACACGATCGACATTCGCCATCTTGAAAATTTCATAGGCGGAAATAGATTAAAAACTATCGATGGAAGCATAGACTGGATCAAATACAGTCACATCGGTTTAATATGGCAGTTAAGTGAACCACATTTCTAAGAATACAATATTCAATCTGGAAAAATGATGCAAATGGCCCGACTCACCTTTCTCTGACAAAAATCCTCTCCACAAGGAAACTATGTCTACTTTTTGTTTTTCTTTGTGTGACGAAAGCAAAATGGAAGATTAAATAAGCAGATATACAGCATACAGGTCATTCTATTCTTCATGTACTCCTTAAAATATTGAAACTATCCCTAAAAAATGCTAACATAACATTCAGCATTCAGTAACTTGACTACGTTTACGCTTACGTAAGTGGAAATTAAACCGAAAGATATTTATTTCACCGAAACAGTTCTGTTGGGTGGTTATTTTTATTAGCACGTGTTCGGTTGTCCAGCGTTTATTGCAGCCGGCATCGGCACCGCTTGAACTTGTCCCGGCTGTGGAGGATATTGGTTTGGTGGCGGTGGATAGCTCGGGTAAGGTGGAGGTGCCTGATTAAAGCCTTGAGGAGGCGGGTTGTTACCAGCTGCTGGAGGCTGATTGTAATTCACCGGCGGAGGAGCATGTACTTGTTGCGGCGTCAAGTGTGTGTGAGTTGAGACCATTTGTTGCTGTGGCTGTTGGCCGGTGACGACCGCAGTACGGGGTGTACGATAGCGGTAGTATGGGCAACAAGCACAGCAGAGACAGGACACAATGGAAATGATGATGGCGAAGAAAATAATTGTGCTGATAATAGCGCCTGCAATAGCTCCACCACTCCAACCACAGTATGATGCCGAACAAACTCCCCCACAACAATCCTCTCCAATGTCACAATCGGAGTCGTACGTACAGTAACAAGAAGACGATTTACTGATGCATTTGCTATTACAGCACTGCTCGCCACTGTCACATTGGTGGTCGTATGAACAGGAACAAGAAGACGAACTACTGATGCATTTGCTATTACAGCATTTCTTGCTCGATCGACATTGGTAGTCGTACGAACAGGAACAAGAAGACGAACTACTGATGCATTTGCCATTACAGCACTGCTGGCTAATGTGACACTGGTAGTCGTTAGAACAGGAACAAGTGGACGAACTACTGATGCATTTGTTATTACAGCATTGCCCGTAAGTTCCACACTGGTAGTCGTACAAACAGTAACACCTCTGTCTACAGACTTTATCTGAACAACAGGACAAACTGAGGGAACAATCGCTGTCGTAGTTACAGCTGGTAGCAATTCCCAAGGCAAAAAAAAAGTCGATAAGAAAGCATAAAAGTTTCTTTGAGGCCATTGTCCTAGCACAATTTCAAAGGCATCTGTTCGATGTGAGATAATAATTTGATAAATTAGACGCGGTTGGCTGGTTTCCAAAATTATCATATATGGTGGCATTGATGGGGATTTTGGGGAAGGGGGGGGGGGGGGGGTGGAGAGGGGATGTTGAGGGGAACGAGGAGAAAGTCCATAACATTTAACCAAAGAAGGTCATGAGATGCCCCGGTATTACACTCTAGGACAGGGCAAACAAACTGGCCGCACCGAACGATGCAAAATTAGTATTTTTTGTTTTCGTTTTCTTCGGCTCGACTTTTGAAGAAGCGTACTTAACTTTTCGCGTACTCCTTATGCGATCGATAAGATGCACCGTAACCTCCGCACAGCCACACCTTCACCCGCAACTCCCCCCCCCCTCTCCTTCCCCGAGGTAAAACGGAAGAAAGGGAACTTCTACGAAAACCTGACACAAATCGTATTCTGTGAAGTCACTCTAAACTATGCAAAATTATGTAACTTGATAATATTTTTTGCTAGCGTGAAAGGTAATGGCTGATACTACTTTGCGAAACGAAACGAAACGAAACGAAACCAGACGAGATATAACGAAACTAAAGGAATTATGCAGATGTATTTTCTAATAAGGTAAGTGATTCGCTCCTGTGATTGAAGCGACTATTTTAATTTGAAGATTTCACCACTAACTGATCTTCACGTACATGGAATTTATTTTGCACTCGTAATAGAAGAAGAAGTAGTCAACTGTAGTCACACTTTTGAGATGTAAGTCGCGTAACGAACTTCTAGGTTTTAAATAACTAGTGACCTGATCTATTTTTGGCTCGTTGCGCTAAGATAATTAAATATTCACAAAAAAAGTGACAAACGGTTTGAAAAATGCAAATCAGTAAGGGTAACTTCCAAAAGGGTTTTGGAGAAATCGTCAATTGATAAGAAGGATTCTAAGTCATTTCGCTAAATAGTAATTTAGGAAGAGTTACTCTTTTGCGATATCGACTATTTTTTCCGCTGCGGTGACAATGTGACCTCTTTCATGTCACAAAAATACATTTAAACATTACAAATTAGTTAGTACAGAACCAAACATTTTGGCATCTTCTTATTTCTTAAACCGTATTAAAAATATACTTTGCAAAATAGTAATTTTAGGAGAGACACTATTTTAAGAAGTAGACTATCTTTACCCAACAATAATGTCGTTTTTTTCGGGTCACAAAAATTCATTAAAACTTTAAATTATAGTATATTCCGATAGATCTTGGTCACCTCCTATTTCATTATCCATGTAAAATCAATTTCGCAAAGTAGTAACTTTATAGCAATTACTATTTTGCGAAATGAACTATTTTCACTGAGCGGTGACGATGAAGCCATTCTCGCGTCATACAACGGCTTTGGTAATTTGCTAATTTGAAATATTTAAATTTATTTTCGTAACATAAAAGATGTCACATTGTCACCGCAAGGTGAAAATGGTCGATTTCGCAAAATATATGTAAAAAATTAAAAATCCTCCTTCACGATTAACGTTTACTCCGAAATTATTGTGAAAGTTATCTCTAAATATTAGATAATATACCGCATTATCCTTTTAGTTTCGCCTGGTTTCGTTTCGTTTCGTTTCGCAAAGTAGAATAAGCCAAAGGTAATCGAGATTCACAACAACATTGAAAAGAATTCATTTTCCACGCCTAATTCGGGTAAATTTACAATTTACTGTCCGCGTTCAAATGTATACTTTGCTTTAAGGATACAGAAAAAGATTATGAGCAATTTTTGGTATAGGACGTATAGAGCAAGAAGAGGACGATGTTCGATTCGCATCGCGCTTTCTAAACTAGATTTCAACGTCCAAGCGGTTTCTGCTTGCATTTGTAAACAGTGCCACGGTCGTCGAATAACGTTGCATCATTTGCCGCAAAATCTCAAGGTTTTCATAGATTTCATTGAGAGATAGTTAAGATGCAAGTGTGAAGAAAGAGTGTACTCTTTTCTCAATCGAAAGAATGGCTGCAAGAAACAAATAGCTTTGATCTAACAGCTACGCAGCACCGTTTGCAAAGAGACCGAAAGTTAAAGGCGACTTCTATATTCTGTATTAGAGACTGAAAAACTTCAGGTTAACGTGTTAAATTCAACCTGCCGATATATTTTCGTAGATTGTGGTGATGTTTCGTAGATGTTTGATGATTTCAGAACTTGATGGTTTGACATTTTTGACAGCTTTAGTCTTGTTCAACCAATCAGATTATTTGAACTATTCTAACAAGGATTCTGATTGGCTTATTGTAGTGTGCGTAATGAAAGTATAGAGCATGCTGACGACACTATTGTTCGCTTTGGAAACAAAGTTTGTTTTGAAAACTAGAAGTAATACGTGGGGAATTGATCAGCGTTGACTGTGCTCTGTTCTGTTGTAAAGCACTCAGAAAGGTGGCCAGAGCACTCAAGAAGTGGGGAGAAACACCCAACTACATTTCGTCTTTCTCCCTACACTTCTTTTGTGCTCTAGCCGCTTCCGGCGTGCTTTACAACAGAACAGAGCACAGTCAAGGCCTCTTTATTTGTTAAATCAACGTTAACGTCAACACTTCCGGCTCTATAAAGACTACAGTAATTATATCCGCGAACCTAAGAGCTATGATATAAAACATCGCAGTTTTCCTCGCATTTACTTCTCTGATAAGAGCGAACTAGCAATTGTCGAAACCTAATTCTTTACCACCAATCCAAATTAGTAAAAACATCTGCTTCTAGCAGGTTTTGGGTCACACAAATTTTAATTTCAAATTGTGTCTACATCTGTCAATATGATGAAGATGTCTGCCAAATACAAGGTCCTTTTAGACTAAATAATAGGAAAAAATCCGGGATTGAACCGGTTTGTTTTAGCCAATTAATGTCTCCTTCATCAGGTTTCATCGTAGAAAAGCTTCCGCGACAAATGCATGACCGGGTTTGAAACTGAAAGCAAAGATATAACCGTATACATATTTTTACACCTGGTTGGTCTCGACAGATCTCGTCAGTTTGGATGAAAACAAATCATCAAAGGCCAATTTCTCAATGAATCGCTCAGACGACATTTTCGCCATGCTTACAGCCACAAAGTAAAACTTCGAAATATCAGAAGTAAAATTCACGTGCAAACCGGTTATCTGCATAACAATAGGCAGTGCATTAACAAAAATTTATTATTCAAAACGATGGTGACAATACATGCTTAAGATATCAGCTGATCACAAAAATAGTAAAAAAGCAACAAATCTCAGAAATATCAAATAAGGTAGCAGTAAAATTCACGTGCGATGAAACTATAGACTCGGTTAACCACAGCCTGATCGGTTTAATATGACACTTAAAGTGAGACTACATTTCTAAGAATACAATTATTATATTCATTCTGGAAAATCAATGCAAATGGCAGGACTTATCTATCTCTAACAAGAATCCTTCTTCACAAGAAATCTGCGTCTACTTTTTGTTTTTCTTTGAACGACGATGGCGAAATAGATGTTCAAATTTGCAAATATACAGCAGGCAGATCATGGCTAAGATTAGCATAATTTCATTTGATTAGAGTACCTATTCGCTGACTTATACTTCTTAAAACTATCCTTAGAAAATCTTACATATTGACTACGTTTACATCTATGAAAATGGAAAATAAAAACCAAAGGTTTTTCATTTCACCCGAACGGTGATCTGCTTGGAGAAGTTACTTTGCAGGTTACTTTCATTAGATCTCGTTCGGTTGTTCGGTGTTTACTGCTGCTGGCCTCGGCGCCGCTTTAGCTTGTTCCAGCGGTGGAGGATATTGGTTTGGTGGTGGTAAACAGCCTGAGTAAGGCGGAGGAGCCTGATTGAAACCTGGAAGAGGCTGATCGTATCCATCTGGAGGAGGCTGGTTGTAACATGGTAGGGGAGGCTGGTTGTAGTTCAACGGCGGAGGAGCATATGCTTGTTGCGTCGTCATCATGTGGGTTGAGACTATTTGTTGTTGTGGCTGTTGGCAATTGAGGACCACAGTGCTGGGTGTACGATAGCGGTAGTACGGGCAACAAGCACAGCAGCAGCAGGATACGATAGAAATGATGATGGCAAAGAAAATAATCGTGCCGATAACAGCCCCTGCAATAGTTCCACCACTCCAACCACAGTATGAGGAACAAACTCCTCCACAACAATCCTCTCCAATGTCACACTGGTCGTCGGACGAACAGTTACAAGAAAACGATTTAGTAATGCATTTGCTTTTACAGCACTGCTCGCCACTGTCACATTGATAGTCGTACGAACAGGAACAAGAGGACCAACTACTGATGCATTTGCTATTACAGCATTGCTCGCCACTGTCACATTGGTAGTCGTACGAACAGGAACAAGATGACGAACTACTGATGCATTTGCTATTACAGCATTTCTTGCCCGATCCACATTGGAAGTCGTACGAACAGGAACAAGAAGAAAAACTACTGATGCATTTGCCATTACAGCATTTCTTGCTCGATCCACATTGGTAGTCGTACGAACAGGAACAAGAAGACGAACTACTGATGCATTTGCTTTTACAGCATTTCTTACTCGATCCACATTGGAAGTCGTACGAACAGGAACAAGAAGAAAAACTACTGATGCATTTGCCATTACAGCATTTCTTGCTCGATCCACATTGGGAGTCGTACGAACAGGAACAAGAAGACGAACTACTTTTACATTGGCTTTTACAGCACTGCTCGTTCGATCCACATTGGTAGTCGTACGAACAGACAGAACAACGCTGTCTGCAGACTTTATCTGTACAACAGGACTGAAGGTAGGAACAATCACTGTCGTAGGTACAGCAGGTAGCACTTCTCACGGCAAAGAAACAGACGAAAAGAAAGCATAAAAGCTCCTTAGAGGCCATCGTCCTTTCACAATTTCAATGGCGTCCGCTCGATGTGAGGAAATAATTTGATGAATTAGGTGCGGTCAGCTGGTTTCCAAATTCTTTCCAGAACTACCATGGAAACCGCCACTGATGGTGGGAAGGGGGCGGGGCCAGGGGAAAGGGAACGATAGGGGAGGTTGGTCTTAATTAAAAAAAAAAGATCTGGTATATTTCATATTAAAAAGTGAAATATTAAAAACCTTGAGTTTAATGGAAAATCATGACGTTACAATATACAAAAGTTAGTTTCCTGACATTGAAGTAGTGGTGTCTTCATTACCGAATAAGAGTTCGCTTTAGGGTATTTATTATTCTTTTTTTGTTCATTTTTTTTCTACAATAAAAATCATTTTCTAGCTCTCTAGGGAATAAATAGAAACATCGTAAACAAAGGCACTAACCCTATGGAGACATATCGATCGTAAAATCAACTGTATTTCCGCAAGCATCCGCCGTAATTTCAAGAAAATTAATGACGAACTTCCGGGAAGATTAATTGTCACGCAAGTAATGTTCCTAGTATTGCAGATTGTGAACTTTGGTTTGACATTTTTGACAGCTTTGGTCTTTTTCAACCAATCAAATTATTTGAACCATTCTGTCAAGGATTCTGATTGGCTTATTGTTGCGTGTTTTATGAGAATATAGAGTATGCTGCAAACAAGATTATATATAGATAGATAAGTTAAAGAGTTAAAGAGGACGCATCGATTCTCTGTGACTCTGAGTTTCGCACCTAAGCGCCGGTCTGCATTCTCTTTAATTCTTTAACTTTCGTATACTTACCTCTGCTACCACAGCATTGAGCACTTTATGCTAAGGTAGACTCAACCCCCACATTCATTTATATATATATACAAATGTGGGGGTAGAGTCTACCTTGGCATAAAATGCTCAATGCTGTGGTAGCAGAGCTGAGTATAAATAAGTGAAAGAATCAAAGAGGACGTATCGATTCTCTGTTACTCTGAGTTTCGCGCCTAAGAACTCGTCAGACAGAACTTCGTCAGAAGAAAGTTCTGTCTGACGAGCGCTTAGGCGCAAAACTCAGAGTAACAGAGAATCGATGCGTCCCCTTAGATTCTTTCACTTTTATATATATATATATATATATATAGGAAGTCTGCAAGTCGATTTTCGCGTGGAACAGTGCTCACTACGTTGAAGCAGAGCAGAATAAATATTAGACAAGATAAAAAATATATTTAAAAAAATATACATCGATGTTCAGTCGCTACTAGCTGACTACGTCTCGTGTTTCTCCCTGCGCTTCTTTCGTGCTCTACCCGCTTCCTGTGTGCTTTGAAACAGAACAGAACACAGTCAAGACTTTTTATTTGTGAAATCAACGTCAACAAATCCGCTTCTATTGAGATTATAGTAATTACATCACGTGAACCACATGACTAGGATTATAAAACATCACAGTTTTCCTTGCATTTTACTTCTCTGATACGAGCCAACTTGCGATTGTCGAGACCTCTTTCTTCAGTGCAAGCCCAACTTAACGAAACCATCTTCTTCTAGTAGGTTTTGGGTCTCAAAAAGCCCAATTTGAATTTTAATTTCAAAAAATATCTGCATCTGCCAATATGATGAAGATGTCCACAAATACAAGGTCCTTTTAGACTAAATATGGCAGGATAAAATCGGGATTTAACCGGTTTCTTTTAGCTAATTAATGTCTCCTTCATCAGGTCTCATCGTAGAAAAGCTTCCGCGACAAATGCATAATTAGGTTTAATACTGCAAGCAAAGATGTAGCACTATGCATATATTTTACACCTGGCTGGTCTCGACTGATCTCGTCAGTTTTGATGAAAGTAAATCGCCCAAACACAAACTTCTCAATAAATCGTTCAGATGAAATTTCCGTCACGTTTAAGAGTACAAATAAAAAGTTCGGAATATCCGAATTAAAATTCACTTGCGAACCGGTCACCTGCATATCAAACTGAACCCTATGCGCGGCAGCTGATAAATAACAATTTATTATTCAAAAACATTGCTACAACACACAAAGCTAAATACTGCTCAACATCGACAAAGCATATGCTGTCGAAAGATCTGCTGGAGATTCGATCAGCTAGAAGTAGAGTTCTATAGAAAGGTAGCAGCTGAAATATTGCAACAACAACCTGGCCAATAAAAAAATTTAAGCTATGATGATATTCTATTACGGAGATTGACTGTTATACGACACGATCGACATTTGCCATCTTAAAAATTTCATAGGCGGAAATAGATTGAAAACTGTCAATGGAAGCATAGACTGGATCAAATACAGTCACATCGATTTAATATGGCAGTTAAGTGAAACGACATTTCTAAGAATAAAATATTCTATCTGGAAAAATGATGCAAATGGCCCAACTCACCTTTCTAGGACAAAAATCCTTTCCACAAGGAAACTATGTCTACTTTTTGTTTTTCTTTGTGTGACGAAAGCAAAATGGAAGATTAAATTTGTATATATACAGCGTACAGGTCATTCTATACTTCATGTACTCCTTAAAATGTTGAAACTATCCCTAAAAAATACTAACATAACATTCAGCATTCAGTAACTTGATTACGTTTATGTTTATGTAATTAAACCGAAACATATGTATTTCACGGGAACAGTTCTGTTGGGTGGTTACTTTTATTAGAACTTGCTCGGCTGTCCAGCGTTTATTGCAGCCGGCATCGGCGCCGCTTAAGCTTGTCCCAGCGGTGGAGGATATTAGTTTGGTGGCGGTGGATAGCTCGGGTAAGGTGGAGGTGCCTGATTAAAGCCTTTAGGAGGCAGGTTGTAACCAGCTGGATTGTAGTTCACCGTCGGAGGAGCATGTACTTGTTGCGTCGTCATGTGTGTGTGAGTTGAGCTCCACTGCTCCAACCACAGAATGATGAATAACAGACTCCCCCACAACAATCCTCTCTAATGCCACAATCGGAGTCGTACGTACAGTAACAAGAAGACGAACTACTGATGCATTTGCTATTGCAGCATTTCTGCCACATTGGTAGTCGTACGAACAGTTGTAACATGTCTGTCTACAGACTTTATGTGAACAACAGGACTCACTAAGGGAACAATCGCTGTCGTCGTTACAGTAGGTAGCACTTCCCAAGGCAAAGAAATAGACGAAAAGAAAGCATAAAAGTTTCTTTGAGGCCATTGTCCTTTCACAATTTCAAAGGCGTCTGTTCGATGTGAGATAATAATTTGATAAATTGGACTAAATTGGACGCGGTTGGCTGGTTTCCAAATTATCATATATGGCATTGACGGTGATGGGGGGGGGGGGGGAGGGAAGGGGGACGAGGAGAAAGTCCATTTTACTAAACATTTTACTAAAGAAGGTCGTGAGATGTCACGGTATTACACACTAGTACAGGGAAAACGAACTGGCCTACGGAGCAACAAACTGGCCGCACCGAGCGATACAAAATTAGTATTTTGTGTTTTTTTATCCTCGGCTCGACTTTTGAAGAAGCTTCCTTATGCGATCGATAAGATGCACCGTAGCCTACGTGTAGCCATACCATCTCCCCCCCCCCCCAATGTAAAACGGAAGAGAAGGAACGTCTACGAAAACCCTAATCGTACACTACTAATCGTATTCTGTGACGATACTATAAACTATGCAATATTATGTCACTTGATGATATTTTTTTCTAGCGTGAAAGGTTATGGCTGATACTACTTTGCGAAACGAAACGAACAATGAAACGAAACGAAACGAAACCAGGCGAGATATAACGAAACTAAAGGAATTTCGCAGATGTATTTTCTAATAGGGTAAAGATAACCTCCAAAAAGGTTTTGGAGTAATCGTCAATTGATAAGAAGGATTTTTAGTCATTTCGCTGAATAGTAATTCAGGAAGAGTTACTATTTTGCGAAATCGACTATTTTTTCCTGCGGTGACAATGTGACCTCTTTCATGTCACAGATATGCATTTAACATTACAAGTTAGTTCAGAACCAAACATTTTGGCCTCCTCTTATTTCTTAAACCGTATTAAAATATATTTCGAAAAATAGTAATTTTAGGAGAGACACTATTTTAAGAAATAGACTATCCTCACCCTACAATAATGACTTTCTTTTCGGGTCCCAAAAATACGTTTCAACTTTAAATTATAGTATATTCCCATAGATCCTGGTCACCTCCTATTTCACTATCCATATAAAATTAATTTCGCAGAGTAGTAATTTTAAGTCAATTACTATTTTACGAATGATTATAATCACTGAGCGGTAACGATGAAGCCATTCTCGTGTCACACAACAGCTTTGGTACTTTACTAGTGTGTAATATTTCAATTCATTTTCGTGACATGGAAAATGTCACATGGTCACCGGAGGGTGAAAATGGACGATTTTGTTAAATATATTAAATAAATTAAAATCCCCCTTAAAGACTAACGTTTACTTCAAAATCCTCCTTAACGACTAGCGTTTACCACAAAATCCTTGTAAAAGTTATCTTCATTATTCTTTTAGTTTCGCCTGATTTTGTTTCGTTTCGTTTCGCAAAATAAAATTTCACTGGTGCACAGGCGACCCAAGCTCCTAAACCTTTCAGCTGAATTGTGATCTTCTTTTATTTTTCAAGAAAGTTTGGACTGAAATTTCCAGTTGACTTACCTTCGGCACGTTTTCCAGTCCAACTGGTAGTGGATCTCGTCCATCGCCCCAATCGCTCAATTCATCTTCTATTTCCACAGAAATTCGCAAAAACCACAATATAATCGCTAAAAACCACGACTTATCCACCGGTTAGTATTATCCGGCTCGAAGGACCAAAAAGAATTATCGCGCAAAATGCTTCCACCACAAAGTTAAGTACTGTATTTTACAACTCAATCATTTATTTTTTTTTTCAACCACGAGGTCTCGTAAAATCACAAGACTTTGACGTTTCTGATTCAATGGCACGTAATACGACAAGTCGACTACGTCTCGTGTTTCTCCTTACGCTTCTTTCGCGATCTAGCCGCTTCCTGCGTACTTTGAAACAGAACAGAGCATGTTCAAGGCTTTTGTATTTGTTAAATCAACGTCAACACATCCAGCTCCATTGAGATTATGGTAATTACATCACGTGAGCCTCATGGCTATGGTTTGAAAACATCACAGTTTTCCTTCCATTTTACTTCTCTGATACGAACGAACTTGCAATTGCCAAGACTTCTTTCTTCACTGCCAACCTAACTTAGTCAAAACAATCTGCTTCTACCACGTGGTTTGGGTCCCACATCGCCCAACTTGGATTTTAATTTCAAATAGTGTCTGCATCTGCCAATATGATGAAGATGTCCGCCACATATAAGGTCCTTTTAGACTAAATATGGCAGGACAACATCGGGATTTAATCGGTTTCTTTTAGCTAATTAATGTCTCCTTCATCAGGTCTCATCGTAGAAAAGCTTCCGCGACAAATGCGTGATTAGGTTTAGCACTGCAATCAAAAATGTAGCACTATGCATATGTTTTACACCTGGTTGGTCTCGACAGATCTCGTTAGTTTTGATGAAAGTAAATCGCCCAAACACCAACTTCTCAATAAATCGTTCAGATAAAATTTCTGTCACGTTTACGAGCACAAAGAAAATTTTCTGAATATCCGAAGTAAAACTCACTTGCGAACCGGTCACCTGCATATCAAACTGAACCTTACACACGGCAGCTGATTAACAACAATTTATTATTCAAAAAACATTGCTACAACACGCAAAGCTAAATAATGCTCAACATCGACATAGCATATGCTGTCGGTCGAAAGACCTGCTGAAGATTCGATGAGCAAAAAGTAGAATACTATACAAAGGTAGCAGCTCAAATATTGCAACAATAGCCTGAGATTGACTGTTATACGACACGATCGACATTTGCCATTTTGAAAATGTCATAGGGGGAAATAGATTATGAACTGTCGATGGAAGCATAGACTGGGTTAAATACAGTCAGATTGGTTCAATATGGCAATTACATTTCTCAGAATACAATATTCAATCTGGGAAAGTGATGCGAATGGCCCGACTCACCTTTCTCCGACAAAACTCAAACTGAAAGCAAAGATGTAGCACTATGCATATGTTTTACACCTGGTTGGTCGCGACAGATCTCGTCAGATTTGATGAAAACAAATCGCCCAAACACAAGCTTCTCAATAAATTTACAAGCACAAAGAAAAAGTTCGGAATATCCGAAGTAAAATTCGCTTGCGAACCAGTCACCTGCATATCAAACTGAACCTTACACACGGCAGCTGATTAACAGCAATTTATTATTAAAAAAACATTGCTACAACACACAAAGCTGAATACTGCTCGACATCGACATAACATATGTTGTCGAAGGATCTGCTGAAGATGCGATCAGCTAAAAGTAATACTTTACAAAGGTAGCAGCTCAGATATTGCAACAACAACCTGGCCAATTCAAAAAAATTTAAGCTGCGATATTCTATTACCGAGATTGACTGTTATACAACACGATCGACATTCGCCATCTTGAAAATTTCATAGGCGGAAATAGATTGAAAACTATCGATGGAAGCATAGACTGGATCAAATACAGTCACATCGGTTTAATATGGCAGTTAAGTGAACCACATTTCTAAGAATACAATATTCAATCTGGAAAAACGATGCAAATGGCCCGACTCACCTTTCTCTGACAAAAATCCTCTCCACAAGGAAACTATGTCTACTTTTTGTTTTTCTTTGTGTGACGAAAGCAAAATGGAAGATTAAATTTGCATACGTACAGCGTAGAGGTCATCCTATACTTATGTACTCCTTAAAATGTTGAAACTATCCCTTAAAAAAAAAATTCTAACATAACATTCAGTAACTTGACTACGTTTACGTTTATGTAAGTGGAAATTAAACCGAAAGATATTTATTTCACCGAAACAGTTCTGTTGGGTGGTTACTTTTCGTAGAACTTGTTCGGTTGTCCAGAGTTTATTGCAGCCGGTATCGGCGCCGCTTGAGCTTGTCCCGGCGGTGGAGGATATTGGTTTGGTGGCGGTGGATAGCTCGAGTAAGGCGGAGGAGGCTCATTAAAGCCTTGAGGAGGCGGGTTGTAACCAGCTGGAGGAGGCTGTTCGGAGTACATAAACGGAGGAAGATCTACTCGTAGCGCCGTCTCGTGGGTGTGAGTTGCGACTATTTCTTGTCGTGGTTGTTGGTCGGTGACGACCACATTATCGGGTGTACGATAGCGGTAGTACGGGCAACAAGCGCAGCAGAAGCAGGATACGATGGAAATGATGATGGCGAAGAAGATAATCGTGCCGATAATGGCGCCTGCAATAGCTCCACCGCTCCAACCACAGTGTGAGGAACAAACTCCCCCACAACAAACCTCTCCAATGTGACAATGGTAGTCATACGTGCAGGAACAAGAAAACGAACTACTGATGCATTTGCTATTACAGCATTGCTCGCCAGTGTCACATTGGAAGTCGTGCGAACAGGAACAACTTGAGAAACTACTGATGCATTTGTTATCACAGCATTGTTCTTTCGTTCCACACTGGTAGTCGTCCGAACAGTGGAAACATCTCTGTCTACAGACTTTATCTGAACAACAGGACTCACTGAGGGAACAATCGCTACAGTAGGTAGCACTTCCCAAGGCAAAGATATGGACGAGAAGAAAGCATAAAAGTTTCTTTGAGGCCATTGTCCTTTTACAATTTCAAAGGTGTCCGTTCAATGTAAGATAATGATTTGATGAATAAGACGCGGTTGTCTGGTTTCCAAATTATCATATATGGCATTGATGGCGATGGGGCGCGGGGGAGGGGGGTGGAGGGAGGGTGGAGGGGGAAGGGAAAGTCCATAACATTTTACCAAAGAAGGTCTTGAGTTGCCACGGTATTACACTCTAGAACAGGGCAACAAACAGGCTGCACCGAACGATCCAAAAATTAGTATTTTTCTTGTTTTGCTTGTTTGTTTTCTTCGGCTTGACTTTTGAAGAAGCGAAATTAACATTTCGCTTACTCCTTATGCGATCGATAACCGTATCAAGATATATTTTTCAAAATAGCAATTTTAGGAGAGACACTATTTTATGCAATAGACTATCTTCACCTTACAATAATGTCGTTCTTTTCGGGTCACAAAAATACGTTTCAACTTTAAATTATAGCATATTCCCATACATCCTGGTCACCTCCGATTTCACTATCCATATAAAATCAATTTCACAAAGTAGTAACTTTAGAGCAATAACTATTTTGCAAAATGGACTATTTTCACTGAGCGGAAACGATGAATTCATTCCCGTGTCGCATAACAGCTTTGATAAGTTTCTAATGTGAAATATTGAAATTTATTTTCGTGACATGAAAAATCTCGAATAGTGACCGCAGGGTGAAAATGGATGATTTTGTTAAATATAATGAGTAAATTAAAATCCTTCTTAACGACTAACGTTTACTTCAAAATCCTTGTGAAAGTTAGCTTTAAATATTAGATAATGTACTGCATTATTCTATTAGTTTCGCCTGACTTCGTTTCGATTCGTTTTGTATCGCAAAACAGAATAAGCCAAAGGTAATCGAGATTTACAACAACATTGAAGTGAATTCATTTTCCATTAATCGGGTAAAGTTGCAATTTACTCTCTTTAAAACCTAGTCGTAGATCGTTGTTGTCTGAAAAGTTGACCATGAAAGCATTCTGTTCACCATCTTCTTCGTTAGTACATGAAAGAAAACTACCAACTCTAGCCAATCAGAATTCACAAAAGAATCGACAAAAGGGTTAACCAATAGGAAGTCAATTCATATTTTCTTGCAAAAGAGTGACGTCAAAGAACACAATTGGTGTCAGGTTTTTGTCGACGTTCCCTCCCTTCTGCTTCATCTTAAGGGGGGGGTGGGGTAGGGTATAGCTACACGTAGGCTAAATGCACAGGTAAGGCCGTAGGATATATTTCACAAACTAAAATAAAAATACTAAAGTGAAATAATACGTCATCTATAATCGACTGAAACATTGAAATCCAATCACTCCAATGGATGGAGTTGCCGTCAAAGATGCCAAGCTTCAATTTTGGTAGAAGGTCTAAACAAGACCGCAAAATAACTCTGTTGACCGTCGAATCAGCTTGCACTCCACCATTAGCCTGACTAAGGGTTTCCTGGTTACCAAACTTTACCTTCAAAGGCTGAACTTCTGAATCTTGTTTCGGAGTTACAGTGTATTCAGTCTTGTCAACGTTAACCAGTTAAGTCGGAACATTCTTGGTTCGAGCTCTTCTTCACCTTCGAAATCCTTAAGTCTTCCCTCCAGACTGTCGTGGCCACCTTCGTCGTTTTGTACGGCTTGAACTTCAGCTAAGTCGAACTGCTTCGGCTTCCAATGTCTCATTTCCTGCGCTTCTTCAGAGGTGGGACGTTGTTTCTCAAGTTCAAATTCTGCTTCTAATCGCACTCCCTCAGCTTCTTCCTTAACTTTAAACAATTTTCGCTGTAACTCAGCTTGATTTTCAATTTCTCGCAATTTTTCTTTGATAGTACCTTTTGCCTTTTGACGTACGCTATTGCAGCGGCTGCTTTCGCTTTGAAAGCCAACGGATCCCTCCTACTCTTAAACGAAGCCTTCGAACTAAATACAAACGATCCTTCACTCGCTCTCGCCTTCAAATGTTCTACTACTTCATCCAATGCTTCTGTAACTCTAACAAGATCTACATCGTACCATTCAAGTACTTTATCGTGCTCGGAGTCAGAAATAAACGACAGATATTAAACATTCAATTCTTCGGCTTGTTGTAAACAAGACTTTAATTCGGCCATAATACGACTGATTCGAGTTTTACTACTTGCCACACTGTTCTATCAAAGCTGCTAAACCTTTCAGCAGATCATAAATTGTGTCATATAAAATTGTGTCATAAATTGTGTCAATTCCAGTCCAACTGATGGCGGATCTCGTCGATCGCCCCAATACTCAATTTTTCGTCCATTTCCACAGAAATTCGCAAAAAACACAAAATAATCGCCGACTTATCCACCGCTTAGCGTTATCCGGCTCGAAGGACTAGAAAGAATTGTCGAGTAAAATGCTTCCACCACAAAGATAAGTACTGTATTTCACAACTCAACCATCTATTACTTTTTGTAACCACGAGGTCTCGTAAAATCACATGACACAAAGCGTGCAAACGAGATAAAATGAAATATATATATCGATGTTCAGTTGCTACAAGCCGACTACGTCTCGTGTTTCTCCCTACGCTTCTTTCGTGCTCAAGCCGAATCCTGCATGCTTTGAAACAGAATAGAGCACAGTCAAGACTTTTTATTCGAGCTCCCGTAGGAACCTCTAAGAAAGCTCGAGTCTAAAAATGCAAGCCGTTCTTCGTCGTATTTGGTCGTCAAATGTATAGGTTTCGCACCAAAAGTTCCAGGCGTTCCTAGCGAAGACCCTAGAAACTGGGAATACACCCATACAGAATGCCGCAGTGTTCTGTGAAGAAATCTCCGGAAAGAATGATGCCTCATACGCTCGTCTCACATACAAACGCACACACCATTCGTGGTAGGCCCACACTAAAAGATGTCGAGCGATTTTGGAACGAGTGAAGGTTGTCCAATACACCCAAACTGAGTCCGATGGACAAAGGCCATGAACAACCAGACAGAAAGTAAAGAGTTGCGGACTGGGTGGAAATACATGTCGGCAAACGGCCGGACTCCATCGGATCCGATGGAGACGAGTTGCTGTGGCAAGAGGCTATCGGACTCGCCGCGTGTCAGTTCGCGAGAGAATTAGAAAATGTACGGCAAAGTAGAGTAGAGGAGGAAGTGGAAAATGTGGGTAAACGGACTCCATCGGATCCGATGGAGACGGGTTGCCGTGTCAAGAGGCCATCGGACTCGCCGCGTGTCAGTTCGCGAGATACTTAAAAATATACAGCAAAGTGGAGTTGAGGAGGGAGTGGAAAATGTGGGCAAACGGATTCCATCGGATCCGGTGGAGACGGGTTGCCGTGACAAGAGGCCATCGGACTCGCCGCGTGTCATTTCGCAAGAGACTTAGAAAATATACAGCAAAGTAGAGTGGTGAAAGGGGTGAAAATGTCAGCAAACGGACTCCATCGGATCCGATGATGCCTTCTCTGTGCATGGTTACGTTTGGCACGTACAGATGAAGGTTACTGTAGGCAGCCCAGTCGTCGGTGTGTACTTCTGACCCAGGCAGGAGGACCCCTTGCAGAACATTGGACAATTCTCGGCGGTCTCTTTTTTACACAACTTAGAAGTAGCCGCGACTATGACTGTGTTCCGAAGAGATCACGCCAAATACCCACACTTTATCGCCGGCCCTGCGCCCTCTTTGATACTATAACGAGTAAATGTTTTAAATTGGAGATTGAGAGTTGCCCCTATGTTCATCAAAAGAAAGTTTAATTTTTATCTAATATTTGTGACATCAAGCACCTTCCTGGCAGATAAACCCAGTCCTCTTAGCAGATTTAATGGTGGGTACTGTGTCAAGTGTTGGGAGTTGCTCGACGCTATTTGACCATTTTATAAGTCGAATAAGAATTTCGCATGTGCCTCAAGGTCGAGCACAGTTTTAATCTTTGTGAATAATTTTTGAAAGCCTAGTTTATTCATTTATGTGCCCGAACATTGTTTGATTTCCTTTTAAAGTTGCCTAGAAGTTCAAAGGCGTTTTTGGTCAATCCAACCATGAACGATACTCTAGAGCGCAACTCGCTCTGACCCCACAGGTAGATTACAATTAAGAGTTTTTTTAAAGGAATACTGGGAAAGTCGGCGAAAAAAGTGCCTTCTCTTAAAGACTTCTTGCCTCTACACCCTCTGTATCTCCTCGAAAAAAAAAAAGCAGTGGTGTAACTCGGGTAGAATTCTGGTTTATAATTATCACTTTTTTTAAAACTATATTAGTTTAATAATAGTATGTCAGTAATATAAAGTGGATAATTTTAAAAATAGTCTTTGTGTTGGAACTGTCAAGTCTTACCGCGCATAGCCATCTACAGAATTTGGATTTCTCTCTACTAATTCCATTCCTCTATTACATGGCACACATCTCAGAGGGCTCGCTATCAAGTTCTGCCGCTGCAGCCAAGTTATCACATTGAGGACTGGACCATCAGTGAGCATGTTAATGTCCATGAGATTCATCTTGATATGCTATTCAAATGCTTGGTTGGCTTCATTTATACTTATACTACGACTACTATGACTACTGAAACAACTGCTACTACAGTGTGGAAACGAGATGCGAAGGTGCGTGTCATTAAGTGGGGCCCCTTGTTCTGTCGCATTTTGTACTAAAATTTTCGTACTTGTTAGAGGGCTTTTTTCAATAGCTTTCAGCAAAAAAAAAATTCTCCCGTAAAAACAAATTCAAATTTTATGAACCACGGACAGTGGGCAATATCCGAATTTTAAGAAAGCCTTTCAGGAAGATTTAAAGTAGGCGACATTGTGGAAATACTTGCCGATGCCGAAGAAAGGGCATCAAAATAAAAACTAAATGGGCGATAAGACCAATTTAGAGTAACAGAGTCTATTTTATTTTAGAATTCATTACATTAAAAACAACAACAACAAAGTTAAAAAAAACAACAGCAACACAAATAACACAGCAATGATCGATCACGTTACCTGTGAGTGATTTTTCGAAAACTTTTGCGTATTAGCTGCGTAAAAATTACCCGC